CAGAATCATATAGGTATTTATAATTATTGTTATTTTTCATTTAATTTTTCGTTAATAAAAAGCAGTTTTTTAATACGATTTAAATGCAAAATATTTTATATAAAGAGAAAATATGAATTAATGTATGTCAAAAATTCACAAAGGAATTTATTTCTTTAATGGGGTGAAATGATATGTTAAAATAAAGAAATTTCCATATATAAAGAAAGGAAGAAAAGCTATAAATGAAAAGAAGTCCCTGATTCATTAATACTTTGTGCTAGGTCGATGAATGAAAGTCGAGAGAAATGAAAATTTAATTATTGAATTAAAATGAGAGCATTTGTTTTATTGAAAGAGATTTAATATTGATTTGTAAAATAAATCAATTATAATTTTCAATTTCAATCATAAGAGAATTTATGCACAATTTCTTCTTCTTTCTTTTTTATTTTTGAATTCTTTCGGACGCATTATTTTGCATGCATATTTCATTGGTGACATTTCAATGAAGCTAATAATATAGCATTTAAATGAGTGAATAACAGGTTTCCCTTTTGTTCTGATTTAGTGTAAAAGGGAAATTAAAAGTGAAATTATTTTGTCGATGCTCCAAATTTTCATGAGTAAAAGTCTCTTACATGGTCAGTGGTTTAACTAAAACATTTTTATTTAGAAAATTGTTTTTTCATTATACAAGTGTCTTCTTCTTACCTAGTGTTAACTGCATTGCATTAGTCATGCTTTTTTCGTCATCATAGATCGACTTGTGAAATCCTTTATGAAGATTGAAATAGGACCATCTATACTGTAAGATGTTATGCATTTTTTTTGTTGTTTACGTGTCCAGCCGTTAAACCATCCACAACTTGCGGAATATCTAAACAAATTACACATAATAAATAAACTATGGGTTCAGATACAAGTCTAACAAAAACTCGACTTTATTGGATATGTTGACACTCATTGAGGAACAACACAAGAAGAAAGGAAAAATTGGAATTGTTTTCTTTGTCCCCTACAGTATGCGTATTATTGATATAGGCCATAAATGGTTTACAAATAACTTAAGGAATAGATTACAATATTTTGAAATTAATGAAGTGAAAAGTGAAGAACAAAAAGTAAATTACGGAGTCGTGCAGGGAAATTTTCTTGGTCCTACCCTATTTTTATACTATGTATAAATGAAATAGGTAGCCTAAATATCAATGGACAAATATTTATGCATGAAGATGATTTAGCGATAGTTTACTAATATAAACTGACAATAACTGTAGCGAAAACAAAATACGTGTTGATTAGTAATTATAGTAATAAAAATTTGTACATTAAATTTAACGGAGCTTGAGTAAAATAAGTGAGTAGCCGCAACTATTTTGGACTAACTATTGATAGTGAATTGAACTGGAATATATATGTTTATAAAGAGTTAAAAAAATGTTAAAGAATAGCAGACATTTTCAGAAAAACGTCGGTTTGCTTATCTGACAAATTAAACCGATCAATCTTAAGGTGGTAAATAAATTTCTCAATATGGTTGTCTTATGTATAGTTACAACTGTACATGCTTAGAAACAAAATTCAAATTAGGAGACTAATTTTGTAAGCTCTAATTACCTTTAACTGGAACTTGAACCTTATTAATAGATGTTCGGGCGTGTTATTGAGTTAGTCGAGTAGTGCTTTATTTTAAATTATGGCACGTGTAATTGTACAAATTAAAAAGTAAGTTAATAAAAAGAAAGTTAATAAAAAGTAAGTTAATAAAAAGAAAGTAAATTAATTTTTTAGAATTTGTCCTTACTTTCGGTTACAGCAACTTTGATTGAATAATATGAAAAATTTACAATTTTGTATAACTAAATTTTATATACAAACGAATTTTGTTGAATTTTTAAGCTTTTTTTTTTTATTTTTAAATTAAACTTTTACATTTTTACTTTGTATTAAGAAAATTTTTTAGAGAGAAACAAACAACTTTTTAAAATTATAGAAAAGAAACAAAATTTCGTACATACTCATATGTATGTATGTATGTATACTTTTCTTCCTTTATGTTAATTATGTCCTGATTACACATACGTGTATACACATATAGACAAATAGAAGTTTACAGTTTTATTTAGAAAGAAATTGAAAGGTGTGTGACATACTTTTCATATTCGTTTGATAAAGATTTTTTTTGTTTTTTTTTGCACGGATTTTACAGTTGCAAGCGTTTACATAATACAAAATAGAATATTTTTGCAATATTTACTTTTTCTTTTCACAAAGGTAAAGGAATATAAGGTTATGTCGTGTGTGTGTTTGTAGTAAAAGACTAAAATTTGCTCCTTTTTAGTTTTGTTTTCATTCTCTTTGAATGTATAATTTTTTTTTTTAACATACGTGTATAACGTTGAAAATTTATTTTAAAGATTTTTTTAAATTTTATTTGTGTAATTTAAAATTATTTCCTGTTTTAGTTTTCCTTATTTTTTTAGAAAGATCTGCTAATAAATTTTAATGTAATAAACAATTTTTTACGATAGATGGTATTGGAAATGTTAGTTCGTTTAGGAGCCCCGGTCAACATTAGGGAGAACTCCTTAAATAAAATTTTCTTAACAACAAGAAAACAAGTGTAAATTTTAAATGTTTGACTAAAAAAATAGAGAAAAGTGCTTATTACTTTGTTCCGTTCGTTTTCTTAAATCTGTTTGCTTTTAAAATTTTTGATATAGATTTGAAATTTTATTGGCCAAGTATAATTTAGACTCCAGTAAATAATTTTTTTTCAATTTTCATGTTTTTACTTCACGAAATTCTTAATTTTCAGATGGATTTGGTACTGGTAAATTTTTTTGTTGTAAATTTTAAGTTTAAGTAGTTGAATCTATATACAAATATATTTTTAAATTTTTTCAATATACCACAGTGAGTTTGAAACTATTAGAATTTTTTTACTTAAATAAAATCTTAACTTTAAACTTAACTCACTTGAATTTTGCTATTAGGACTTGAATAGCTTTTCCATCAGGATCATAAAAAATCACAGAATTTATGACAATTTTATAGAAAAATATTATTAGTTTCGTAATATTGCTAATAGTTTCTTTTGTAAATATTGTATAATTATTTAAATAAAATTGTTTAAACAATTGAAACAATTGCAATAGTATAAAAATATTATTATTTTTATATTTAAAACAAATAAGTAAATTGTTTCAATTCATAAAGCATTTTTTGCACAAAAGATTAAAAAACATGTACTATTAATAATTATAAATACATACATATATTTAAAACTATGTAAACATCTGTTGAGTGATTACTTTTAACACTTGTTCATGTTATTTATAACAGCAATAACAACAATAAACAATACAACTATAATAATATTATCTACACACAGTATAAGTGATTCAATACGCAATAAAAGTGCAAAATTGTAGATTCTTAATAAAAATAAAATTTTTATTAAATATTTTTAATTTTTTTTATTAATAAAATAAAATTTCAAAGGAATTCTTTAAAAATTTTAATTTAAACAAAGTATGATAAATTTTAAAATTTATTGAACTTAATTGAATTCCAAATAAATATAATTTTCTTCAAAAAATTTTATGGTTGCAGCATCATGGTGTTTGGAAGCTCAACTTTAATTGTCCAAAACAACTTCTTAAAGTTTTCCAGAAAATTCTATTAAAAAAACTTTAAAAAATTTTCTAATTTTACTGTAAAAGTTAGTTTTATTGTAAACTAATCAAGTGTAAAATTTTTTGTTGAGTTAAAATTATTTGTTCGGACTTTATTTCAAATTATTACGTATACAACATTTTCTAAGCCTATTTAATTGAAAAACTAAAAATAAAGTATTTCTCTGCATATTTGAAAAATATTATAGTAGAATTTTTTCTTCAAAAGTAATATTTTCATAACATAAATTTGATTGAAGAACTTCTTTACAAAAACTGAATACATATTATTCGAAACTCCGAAAAAATATTGCGGCATTAAAATTTTTCAAAACTTAGGAGTAAACTTTGTAATAACAAAGAAAATTTCTAATATTTGCTGCTAGGCTTGATACCAAATAGCATTTATTTTAGATTTTCACCTCACAACTTATATTATTGGCATTAAAAAATTTTTGGCATTAAAAAAGTGTGATTTAAAAAAATATGTATTAGATGGCTTTGTTTAACATTATTTTTAAAAATATTAATATTAGCATTTGAATTAAATGTCATAAAAAAAAAGAAATTTCTAGAATTTTATAAAAATTTTTAAAAATTTTTAGTCTCTTTTAGTCTGATTGGAATTTTCAAATAAGAATTTTTAATATTGTCCGGCTTTTAAAATAAGAATTTTTTATAAAATTAATTTGTGATTTTGTAATTACAAATCGTGTCATTATTGTGTAACTCTTATAGAAGAATAGGAAATAAAATTAAAAAATCAAATTCTCGTTTAAAATGGAATTGTGTTTCTTCATTAATTTGGTGGATACATGCATATTGAAAGAGAAATGTAATTAATGGATTTTAATTCAAAAAAGGTTGTTAAACTTCTCTACAACTATTTAGGACTGTTGTGAATAAAACGGTACATCGATTCAATCTGCTTGTGTACATATGAACATATATTAAAAATATTAAATATAATCTTAATCAAAGTTGAAGATAAAGAACAGGAACTAATTCAAATGACCTGTGGAACAACTTATGTCGTCTTGTGCTAAAAATATTGATGAAATGCATTCATGCTCAATAAAATCGAATTTGTATAATGTGAAACATAACCTCAAAATTTCCAAATTTAAAAAAAAAAAACACTACTAAAAGATTTTCTTTTTCTCCTCAATATCAAATACGCCTTATACATAATATGGATATTTTTTAATGTCCATTTTTTACAAAATTACAAAGATATTAAAAATATTACAAAAAATTTAATTCAAGTACTTTTATATTGGGTCTCCCCGATATTCAATTTTTTAATTATAAATAATTTTTATATTTTATTTTTAATTCTAGTTTAATAAAATATTCCATAATTTTGTAATATATATAAAAATTAAATACAACAATAGTTTATTAAAAAAAACAAAAAGAAAACTTAATTAATTCATAAAAACAATTAATAGTGAACGTTAAATAGCGAAAAATACATATATAAATTAATAAAATAAATAAGTAAATAGTTGAAATAAATTAAATAAATAATAAAATTTAATAAAAATATAAAAACACAAGTGAAATAATCATAAAACTATTAGTAAAAAAAAAAGAAGAAAAAAATATTAAATAATTTGAAGAAAAAAAAAACAAAAAGTTAACATAAATATAAATTAAGGGTCAGAAAAAAAAATTAAATTTAAATTATAATAAAATAAAATAAAAAGAAGAAAAATAAATAAATAGTTATAAAAAATAGGAAATAGATAATTTTTTGTATTGAAATTTAAAAAAAATAATAGAAAAATTTCACATTAAAAAATCAACACTTTTAAAAAAATTTTTTAAACTAACAAACACAACATTACAAATTGTAATTTGAAATTCACCAAACAAAAAAAAACAAGCCGAAATTTTGTTTATTTTTTTGTTTAATTTAATAATTTAATTTTTTGTTTTTAAAAATAATAAATATCAAGAAAAAATTTAGAATAAAATAATATAAAAGTAGTTTCTATACATAATATTATATAAAATAAATACCTAAAAATAATATAAAAAACATAAACAAAAATTCAGAAAAATAAACAATTTTGATTATATCTAGAATATTATAATAAATCATTATATAGAATTAATTAAATGAAATTTCAATATTGATATTAAAAACAATAAAATTAAATAAAATAAATAAATAAAACGATACTCTAAAAATATAATTAAAATTCAAAAATCATAACCATAAGTGCAAATGAAAAATATAAATTAAAATAAAATAATTAAATAAAATAAAAAAATTTGAAAAAAAAAACTAATTTAAAATAATTAAATTACATACTAATTTTCTTAAAATAATTAAAAATAAAACTGAAAAAGAAAATACAAAAAGTTCAACTAAATTACAAATAAATAAAAATTTTTAACAAATTTCAAAAGGATTATGGCGAATTTTATAGTAAATCTGAGACGGAAAAAGGTAAGTACAAAATTTTATAATTATTTTTATTTTTTCTAAATTTTATTTAATATATAAACTCAAAAAGAAAGTTATAACTTGCTAATATAACATAATTTCAAATTAGTATGAAAAATTAATTAAGATTTTATAATAAAGTATAAAGCAATGTGACGTTGAAACAATTCGTCGGTAATTTCTTCATAGATACACATGCCTGGTCCGCCTCATCTTGAATATGCTTCACAAGTATGGTCGACATTTAAAATACATTTAAAATAAAATTGTGATAAACTGTCAGCAGAATGTTGCGTTTATGCAATAAACACAAACACAGACTTGACTTTTCACTTAAGAAAGACACAATGAAAAAGCTTCTATTTACTTATAGTTAAGTATAACCCTTTTCTTTATTTTAACAAATTCTTGTTTTAGTTTTTCATTGTTTATATTCATATAGAAAGCGATAGATCACTGGTTCGTGTCCAATTCGAGGACAAAAATTTTTTAAATTCTTCTGCCTTTAACTCGTTCTTTTCATCGTTATTCATTTGTTTTTGTATTTGCTTGATGAAGTTTTTAGTGTAATAGGCACAATATTCATTAATTAAGCACAACATTTTTAATATTGTATTTAAATTCCTTCGAAAACACACGATCCTCCTGTTGAAAGTAAAAAATACTATTTCCATAAACCGAAAGCAAAAAAAGTAATTGCATAGATTTTCTATGCATTCGTTTGAGATACTTAGGTATTTTGAATTCAATTCAATTAATCGAGATATATGTATAATACATTTGTTCGAGTTCAAATATTAGATTTGATTGACCATTAAATATCCAAGACACTATACACGTATTGTCCTATCTATGCATGTCAGAACATGCAAAATTATAATTATTAATAAAAACAAAAAAAAACCATTACCCGGAAATCAGTATTACTGTGGCTTTCAGTATATGAAGTGGTTTTACAAAAAAATATTGGAAAATTTTTTAAAGATAGTATTGCTTTGTGTTTTGCAGTTTTCTGTACTGTTACGGTAAAACCGGTTTGTGCGAAAGAAATGTTTTTTGCCATAGAAAAATTCTGTTTAGAAGAATTTTATGTGAGTATTTAATTTGATTATAAAATTTATGTTTTTTTAAAGATCGAAATTCTGTTTATTGTGAAAGTCTTTACTTCGGGTATTTTGGCCCAAATTTTTATATGCAGAACATTCACTGGTACGTTTTTAATTATGATATTTTATCTCTAATTTTCAACAAAATTTCATTAGCCGTAATGTTATAACTAAAATGTAAATAGCCAATTACATATGAAATTTGTCAATTTAAAGTCAATATTGAGGTGGTACTTTAAAGCAAAATTAATGGTTAATCATTTGTCTTAACTTATTTTATTAATGAAATCCAAGCTTTGATTTGTTTCTTTTGATAATTCGCTTTTTATTAACATTTTGTTGAGCTCGGAAAATTTTCGAAAGCACCTAATAAAATTGCTGCATAAATACTGCAATTATTACAGAAATTCTAAAATACTACAGAAGATTATACTATAAAACTTAAACTTATATAAATTGAAAAATTTTTAAATTATTTCAACATTATAGCTGAAAAATTCCATTCAAATTCCTCTAATTCATAAATTCATAAAAATTTTCCATATACTCGTATGTACGTATAAGTAACATATTCTGCTCTTAATAATTTTTTTTAAATATTTTTTTTTATAGCGAACATTACTTTTATATACATATGTACATACGAGTATAGATCACGTTATAAGCGTTGGTGGCTTAATGAATATATTATTATAGAAAGCTCGTAAAAAACTAAATTTCTTATTGACGCTCTTCCATCAGAAAAATTGAATTTATATATAACAGAAGACATGTTTTTTTTGCGAGGCTTTTCTACATTATTCAAGCGGTTCAATGAGAAAAAAAATGATGGCACTATATTTCATTATATTAAAAGTATTTTTTTTTTTTCAAAAAAAAAATTATTTCACAAAGAAATTCGTACTAAGAAAATAATTTGACTCATGAGTCATAAAATAATTTGAATAAAAATTTTTTTCATTTTTCATTTTCTTATGCACTCGTGATCACTGTAATTATAGTTTTAATGAAAGACCGACCTACATTTTGTTGCTCTTATATTCAAAATAATAAATTTAAAAATTCATTCAAAAAAAAAAAAATAAAAAAAGGGGAAAATATAATAAAAGAGAGAATGTTTTTTTTTTTTGCTCAGTATTTAAAATAATTTTTAAATATGTATGTATTTGTGTGCGTGTGTAGCATTTATAACATTTTATGTTCATTCACGTAAGTAAAAGTAATATATAAATATGCAAGTGTTCTAATCATTTAGAATGCTACACGACAGTGTTACCATATAATTATTTTTATTTTTGTTGAAAAAAACTGTAAATTTTTAATAACATTTTCGTCTTATTGCACGAAGAGAAGAGAATAATAAGCATCAAATATTCAATTAGCAGGTGACTGTAAAAATCAGTTAAATATATAAATTTATTTTTGGCAAAAGTTAATCCCTTCAACTAAAATAACTCGTTGTGTGACTGATTGTTTTTGGTTTGCAAAATTATTTTGATGGGTTTATTTATTAAGAAAGGCTTGGGGCTTGTAGGTAAGTGGCGGATATTGAGTTTCTTTAGGATTTGTCCTGATTGTATTGGATCGAATTTCTTATAGGTAGATTCCCAGTAACTTAAGTTTGGTCGAGCTTTTCAATGTTCTACATCATAGAAATATGGCACCTATTACAAATATTTTACGAACGTAATTATGCAAATCAAATAAATTTTATCACAATTAAATCTTGTTTGTTCTATTGAAACAAATTGACTGTTGTAGGTTTTCTTTTGTAACAACACATTTCATTTAAAATATTTTATAAAAATGTTATAAAATTAAAAACAATGAACATGATTTTGTTTATTTTACTAAAAATAAAGATAATTTTTGTTTGTATAAATTTGTCCCAGATATTATACTAATTTAATTTCATGTGCAAGTATTTGAATCGATATAATGCAAAATGAAATTCTATTCAAAAGAAATTTTTAAATACAATAAAAAATTTTTCAAACAATCCTGATTTAGATGCATTAGTTTATGATTTTTTATTTTTAAAACATATAGGGTAATAAGTACAACATATGTATTCATTCATTAATGGAAGAATGTATGCATTTATACCATTTTATTAACATGAAAACAGAAAATAAAGGGACTTGAAATATTTGTATTGAAAAAGAGTATATTATTTCAAATAATTAAATAATATTGAAACGCAAGTATTATGAATTTTAGCCGAAATACTTATTTTATTTTCAAATACACTTCACAATTACAACAATAAATGCACTGTAATTTACTAATGAAAACGACAACTTGGAAAAATAAATATTGTGATTAAAGATTATACTTTAGGATGTGCTTGTTATGCTATTTAGTTTTGTTATTTCGATCGCTATTGTCATTTAAATTCTACACATATTTTTTATGCTCTGGGAACAAACAATCACATAACTTCTTAAATTCACTGTTTTGCAAATAATCCGATTTCTGGAGCTAAATTTTTATTAAATAATTGAAAAGCATTTGCAATATATGCAGATGAATGTAAAGCAAATTCATAAAATATGTACGTATATATACTTTTAATAGCATTGTGGGAGATATTTTAACTATGCAAAATTCGTTAGCCAGGCATACCATAAAATTTGTTTATTCCCTTTAAAGAGAAATAACTGCAATTTTATACCCAAACGTGTTTGTGGTAGGCAAATTATTTTTTTTTGAAGAACATTTTTATCTATCTTCCATCACTATGTCGCTCTAACAATTAAATAAACTAAATTAAGCCAATAAACTCTTAAGTTTTAAAAATTCCAATTTTGACAACTTATTGTTTTTAAACGTAGAGAAAAACAGAGAAAGAATCCGTGACGTACATTTGCTACCCCAGAACATTATAGGGAAATTTTGTTTAAATAATGACTGCGTTTGTTTGTCGAACCTTGCCACAATTTTTCTATTTGACAGCAAGTTATGGAGGTCAAAAAATTTGCGGACTTCAGTAAATATTTTTTTGCCAGAGCAAAATTTTTTTTTTAAATTTTTTCACAAAAACAAGAGATCCCCTTTTTTAATATTGCCCTATATAATTTGCAAAATTTTAATATTTCGGCAAGTTATTTCTTCAAATTTGTGAGCTCTTCTAAATTCAAATAAAAATTAAGATCTAAAAATAAAAATGGTTTACGTGATTACCCGCGAATCGACCATACAACGTTTATGCTTCCTTTAATTTATGATTTCATACTAAACGTATGCAACGTGCGCCAAATAATCACTCATTTGGTTCTGATTTTAATGTGATTTTTTTTTGTGTGCGTAATAATTGAATTCTAAATTTTTTTTTTAAATTTTATTCAATTTTATGTTTTTCATATTGTATTTAAATATTGTACAGGATTTGATATTTTGAATTTCTGATTTTCTGACTAATTTTCGTATTATTCCAAAATCTGTTCAACGTACACAATATGATATACGCAAAAGTTGCTTTGCTCTTTTTCTAAAATTAAATTGTTTTAAAATTGAATATTTTTGTAAAAATTAAATTTATTTATTGGTAATAGTCAATTTAAATTTAAAATGGTGATGTTTTCCTTTTATAATTTATTAAAAGGTTTTAACTTGATTTTAATTAAATTTTTTTTTGTTTTTCTATAAACATTTTTTTTTTGTTATTCTTTTAAATAATTATAATTTTTTCTATCAACGTACTTATATTGTTATACCCATTTTAAATTATAAAAGATAATTAAATTTTATTGAAAATTTTTTAAATTGTTTAGCTTTTTACAATATTTAAAACACTAATTTAAATAAATTGTGAAAAATTATTGAGTAAATTTAAATAATATAAAGAATTTCCGAAATAATTTACAAAAATATGTTTTTTATGGGTTCCCTGATCGA